GGGGGGTGACACTAGATATTCTATACGAAACATAAAGACATCAGGTGCTTTTAACCTAAATTTATACAATACTCTTACATTCGTAATACTCATAGCTTATTCAATTAATGTAGAAATACTACACATTGGATTTGAAACGTGATGTATCATTTTGTTCTCAGAGAACTTATAAAACCGTTTAACCTTTACCTTAAGTCTATATCAAAAACGAACAAAGGGCCATAACATTGTACATAAAAGGGAGAGATAACTGATTTTGTTATGCTTTTTTTTCAAGAGGTGCAATAGTAGATAACAGAGTTTCTTAGAGATGCTCCTGCCAATGTAATGCGTGAACTGAAGCATGAACGGATATGCAGGGTGCGAATATATATTACCCTCTTGATGTAGCGGTAATATATATAATTCCTCCACTATTCAGTACTATGTTAGGGTAAGGATTGGTTTTTAGGAAATTTCGGAATAACTCAACCAAAAACCAATCGTAAAACGTAAAGTTCATAATACATGTATCAGGATGGGAATTGAGCACGTATTTAGGAAACACATGGAAAGAATAACCGTGGTTCAAGTTAAATCTTCGTATATGGCTGGAATACAAAGCAAACACCAAACATAAGCAACTGTTGAATTCGATGTAATCATTTATACGCAGTGTTCATCTTGTTCACCCGAGTGTAAGTTTCACTACACTTATGTGTACATGGTAATCGTTCACGTACACAGCAATAGGCATTTCAATATACGGGTTTCAATGCATGCTTACACATATGGAATCGCAAACCTACTCAGCAACTATTATTAGGTTTGGAAATTGGTTCGATATGTAAATCTGCACGCACGGGAATCATGCATCATGCATTCCGAGCTAAGGTTCAGTCATATGTACAGGTATGGATTCTTAGTTAAGGTTTAGTCATTTGTACAGGTATGGATTCCTAGTTAAGGTTCAGTCATGTGTACAGGTATGCATTCCTAGTTAAGGTTCAGTCATGTGTACAGGTATAGTTTCCTAGTTAAGGATCAGTCATGTGTACAGGTATGGATTCCTAGTTAAGGGTCAGTCATGTGTACAGGTATGGATTCCTAGTTAAGGCTCAGTCATGTGTACAGGTATGGATTCTTAGTTAAGGTTCAGTCATTTGTACAGGTATGGATTCCTAGTTAAGGCTCAGTCATGTGTACAGGTATGGATTCTTAGTTAAGGTTTAGTCATTTGTACAGGTATGGATTTCTAGTTAAGGTTCAGTCATGTGTACAGGTATGGATTCTTAGTTAAGGGTTAGTCATTTGTACAGGTATGGATTCCTAGTTAATGTTCAGTCATGTGTACAGGTATGGATTCCTAGTTATGGTTTAGTCATGTGTACAGGTATGGATTCCTAGTTAAGGCTCAGTCATGTGTACAGGTATGGATTCTTAGTTAAGGTTTAGTCATTTGTACAGGTATGGATTCCAAGTTAAGGTTCAGTCATGTGTACAGGTATGGATTCCTGGTTAAGGTTTAGTCATTTGTACAGGTATGGATTCCAAGTTAAGGTTCAGTCATGTGTACAGGTATGGATTCTTAGTTAAGGTTTAGTCATTGTACAGGTATGGATTCCTAGTTAAGGTTCAGCCATGTGTACAGGTATGGATTCTTAGTCAAGGTTCAGTCATGTGTACAGGTATAGTTTCCTAGTTAAGGATCAGTCATGTGTACAGGTATGGATTCCTAGTTATGGTTTAGTCATTTGTACAGGAATGGATTCCTAGTTAAGGTTCAGTCATGTGTACGGGTATAGTTAAGGTTCAGTCATGTGTACAGGTATGGATTCCTGGTTAAGGTTTAGTCATTTGTACAGGTATGGATTCCAAGTTAAGGTTCAGTCATGTGTACAGGTATGGATTCTTAGTTAAGGGTTAGTCATTTGTACAGGTATGGATTCCTAGTTAAGGTTCAGCCATGTGTACAGGTATGGATTCTTAGTCAAGGTTCAGTCATGTGTACAGGTATAGTTTCCTAGTTAAGGATCAGTCATGTGTACAGGTATGGATTCCTAGTTATGGTTTAGTCATTTGTACAGGAATGGATTCCTAGTTAAGGTTCAGTCATGTGTACAGGTATGGATAATCTTGAAATGTACGGTGCTGATGATAAAAATATCAGTTCATTAAAATATAAAAGGATATAAGACAAACGAAATTCAAACATACTACAAATAAACGTATATAACAGAGACGATATACCATGTTAACAATAACAATGATCATACATACAAGTGAAGAGAAAAGTGGGATGTATACAGGGTGCAGTAGGCCTCAAAAACATGCTTCACGCGATCAGAGGCGTAGTCCAAATTACCTGTAGTAGTTGGTGCTGGCGTCGTCGTGGTTGTGGTGGTAGTTGTTGTTGTAGTAGTAGGGGGCTCAGTTGTGCGCTTAACTGGTGAGTTACGTACACAAACAGTTAACAGTGACAAACAGACGCTACCAAACATTTACATTGCAAGTGAGCGGTGACATACTACTGTAAACCATCTTATTTCCGCGATACATAAAGTTGTTCGCATTTACTTGTGAGGTATATCATTGACGAATTAATAAGTTCAAAAGAGTATCACTCTTGAAATATCATGTACTAAATCGCAGTTAAAACAAAATACAGGATCTGTCCGCAAAATAGAACAACCGCGAAAATAAGGCGATTTACAGTAACAAATTTTAGATAGTACTTCGTGTGAATGTCGTGATTTGAAACTCAGACAATTAAAGAAGGCACGTCACAGAACAGCAATATCCCATTTACGGATAGACAGTCTTTCTTCACTCAAAAGTGTCAAAATTCCACATCATTTTTCTTGAAAGACACCACAACTAACATAAACGTCAACGGCAAATAAAATAGACATACATTTTATAGTAACAAACATTATCAACATTTAACATTCAATGCAAATATGACCGGAATTCCACGCGAATAATATACAAAATATTATCATCACCTGTAAAGGCAAACATGATGCATACCATTACAATAAAACAAAGATGTCAGATATGACAAAGAGGCGGAATGAGATGTGTGGATGACTTACCTGGACAGAGAGACGAGAACACCTGGTCACTAAGAGCGTTGAGCTCGTCAAAGGTCTGCACGTTGAAGCTGTTCTCTGATGTCGGTTTGTTGGCAATACCGTCTAACTCTTTAGTATCCTTCAGACCGATACCTATAGCATAGATGTGGATGTCTGCAAGTCTAGCCTTGTCGGCTTCCGGGATNTATCTACATACCTGATACCGGAGGTGGCAGTGTGATTGGTATCGGTGTTGTAGCTGTGAGAAAAGGACACAAGAAGGATGAAATCTTCGGGGCCATATGCAATTAAGCCACATACCAAAATATCCTAATTCAAACTAGCAACACTATTATCATAATATTTAAAAAAAGGCAATGCAGTATATGTATATAAGCGATATTAGAGAATATATATCTATTGATGCAAAAACATGCTTTTTCAGTTTTATCTGACTGTTCTATTAAGCATGACGCTTTAGTTTTAAAAAAGTTCGTTTTCAAATCTCCTTTAAGAATACATCAAAGCTTTGTCTAGATTTAGAAGTCATTATTGACCTTGATAACAATATATAGCTAATTGGTTATTCACTTTAGTATAGTCTTAAAAATGAGAATAAAGGAAACTGTTTAAACGTGGATGAAATCTTAATATTATGCAGAACAATGTTTGCAATGATTTATGGGAGTTTTTAGTAGATATTTTGAATTTGATTAATTCTCTTTTGTTCAAAAACAAAACCTTTTCGCATTATTAATAAAAATATACCAGTAACTGCGGAAGAAGTGGAGGAATGACCGTTCGTTAGACGAGTTATCTGCCCTCAACATTAAAGAGATAGATTATCACTTACATGGGGGCGGATATGGCCTCTCGCGGAATCCATCTGGTGGACGTTCTGGCGCTGTATAAAAGAATGTGAATCAGCATTGAGAAGTCTAAAGGTATTAGCGAAATGATTATCATGAGCTAAGAGATAATTCAGCAAAGGAACATATACTTTGCTACACGTGCCAGATAAAAATAGAATTTGAATACGTTATACATAAACTGCCTGCAAAAGGCTACAGCAGCAAGTGGAGATAAGTGAATACGGTTTATCGTGAATATAATTGTACATGTAGGCTTTAAGAAAATTTAAATACATTATACATAATCTGAACGAACTTTTCTCAATATGTGCACGAGCTAAATATTATTGAATCTTACAAGCTTCTAGCATCTCCAACTCGTCGTCAATATCCTCTGGTCGGTCAGTCAGTAAGAACAGACGCTGGTATTCGTCCAGAGGGTGTGACGATACCTCGTCCAGTTCGCTGTGATCCCTGAGTCCGACTCCCACCGTGAACAGGTAGGTTCCGTCATCTTCGTTTCTCTCTGCTGCCCGAAACGCCTCATACCTGTCTGTGCTTTCGTCATTTCCGGTGATCAAAAGAATATAGTTCCTAGCAAAGTCTCTGTCTCCATTGTTGGGTCTAAACATCCGGGTCCTAACATACTCCAGGGCATCTGCAGTGTTAGTTTCGCCTGCCTGGTACCGGACATTGTCAATAGCAGCCACAACTCCGTCTCTGGTCAAGTAATCATCCAGTTGGTTTTGCACTGCTTGGTCAGTACTATACCTGAGGAGACCGACTCGGAATTTTTCGTTGTCTATGCTGAGTCGACCTGCAACCATCTTGGCGTAATTGCGGATCCATTCGAATGTCTCTGGTGTTACTGATGAATCCAGCACTATGACAAGATCGAAGGCTCTTGGTGGTGGTGTGGGAGCCGGTGTAGTGGTGGTTGTGGTAGGAGGATCAGTAACTAAAATTAGATTTGTTGATGTAAATAAAATAATAAAACCCAATAGATCCTGTTGTGACATACAGCCATACCTATAATATATATGTTCGTACCGCAGAACAACATATACCGTTTTCGGTTCTCGAAAAACTCGGCGATGTAATTTCGTTTTTGTAATTATTATTTCTTATATTTTGCAATTATAAGTTCAACTGAATTGTCTCGTGTTTAACTAACAACACTAGGACGATACCAAGTCATCGACTACGCCTTCATAATGTTAATGGTCTTGTTAATGGAAAGACACTCATATGATAAAAGTTATAGGGCTCTATTATTGTGAACAAAAAAGTTTAAAACATCTATCATAACACTAATATATATCAAATACGGATGTAACTGGTTGATTATGTACACATATCGCATTAGCTAATTTTCAAATAACTTAATTACAATTTCATGATAATCTATTACTTAGCGTGAAAACAAACATGCTGAGAAGTAGAATTTATTGTATGACAATTTCATTCAACATCAAGTAGTTACAATCAAACAGATGATATCGGTTCAAAATGATAACGCTATCTTTGCTGGTTTATTTGCACATTGCCTGACATAGATTATGTTCAATCAAGATTGTAGGTAACGTTTTTCTTATCTGATACAAATATAAATGAGAATAATCTTTTGATCAAAATATAATTTTTATTTAACTGAATGTTAGATTTGGGAATATAGTCTATACCACGAAATTGTGTTGTCTTAATTTATGAGATAATGGACACATGGGACAATAGCTGTTTTCTTTTCTTTTAAAAGTCAGGTCGCTAGGAAGAATATCTAGTACTTGAGATTGATATTGATTACGAACATGTTTTGCCACGATAACGAAAAGACAGACTTAATACAATTTTGTTCTCGTACATTACTATCCAAATGTGTTTTCACCTGTTATGCCTACCTTTGTTCCGGACGAATTAGATAGTATAATTAAATAGAGGTTGGAAAAAATAAATAATCAGTTCACTCACAAAGTGAAACACTGAAAACCTAAAGACTTTAACATCATATGAAAGGTATCAAACATTTTCATGCATGTGTTTTTTTTACCTCTCGGCACTGACGCTGTAGTTCTCGGGGTCTGTGCTTCACTTTTAAAACCTGCATTACGTACACATATACAAGTAGACAGAGACAGCATACAACAGTGTAACATAAACATAAAAGGTGTGCATAGACGTAACAGGTCATGTGACAGATTGACAGAACAGTACAGAGTTGGTGCTTATCTATATTGTATAAAGGGAGAAATGTACAGAATAGAAACAACACATACACAAATATAATGTGTATTTAACAATCTGAGCAAATTACAGTGCATTACGTTCAACACGACACATTGAATAACAGGTCAATAAACAAAACAGCAAATACAGAAATCGTTGTATATTGCATTTGGAAAACAAAAACATAATTTGATTTGGTAAAAAATGACGTCATCTTTAAGATATCATTGATGTGAAATACTTCTTAAAACACCTACCTGGACATAGAGAAGAGAACACTTGGTCACTGAGAGCATTGAGCTCGTCAAAGGTCTGCACGTTAAAGCTGTTTTCTGATGCTGGTTTGTTGGCGATGCCGTCTAACTCTTTGGTATCCTTCAGACCAATACCTATAGCGTAGATGTGGATGTCTGCAACTCTTGCCTTGTCGGCTTCCGGGACGGTTCTCCGGGAATTGATGTTGGATACACCGTCTGTTAAGATGATACAGATGTTTGGAACATCATCACGATCTCCGTCGGCGGCGTTGAACATGTTCCTCATCGTCCTCAGTGCGTCAGCCGTGTTCGTACTTCCGTAAATGTAGGGGATCTCATCGATAGCCTGGTTTATGTCAGCTCTAGTTGAATGTGTATTGAGATTGAACTGAACTTCTACCCCGGAACTATAGATCAAGGCACCGACGCGTACGTTACCGGAATCAATGTCGGCGTTCCCGAGGAAATCCTTACAGAAGGCCAGCATTTTATCGTAGTTATCTTGTCCTACACTGGTGGAGGCGTCTATGATGATGATTAGATCAACCTTTGACAGGGCACAATCTGCAATATATTGTTTCGTACTTCATTTCTGCAAGAACTAAAGCTATATATTGCAGTTAAAATTTGATATTATTTAACAGGTTTTTTTCAAGCATTCTGTTTTACACGATATTGTAAAATTAGATAACATGGTACTTTTACATCTGTTTGATTTTAAACTTTCAAACACATAACTGACGGGAATTAATAAAAGTTCCCTCAATTACCCAATAATGTGAAAAAACTAATAATTTGTCCACTTTGGTTTAAACAATACAAATATGACCTCAATCAAAAAGAAAACTGTTTAACTAGTTAAGCTTTTTCCAGCAATTAAAAGAATTTCATAAATCCTGTTTAAGAGTTCGAAAAGGTGGTAATTTGTTCCGAAATAACAGTAAAAAAATGATAATACAGAACACAAATTACAACACAAAACACCGATTTCATAGCTATATTTAAAAAACGGCCATAAATGTTAAACAAACTACATCCCCCAATTAGAAGACACTTCATAAATGAAATAAGAGAACAGGTTAGAAAAAAGATTTAAGTAAAATTTGACAGGTATATCAACACACCGTTCATACCGACAGGTATAATAACACACCGTTCATACCGACAGGTATTTTAACATACCGCTCATATCGACAGGTATATTTTCACACCGTTCATACCAATAGGTATATTAACACACCGTTCAATCCCTGTATATATGATTATTTCTGCTAGGTCATGGATCTATATATATATATATCTGGCTATTTACAGAGATTTGATACTGTTTAATCAAACACTGATTAATTTCGAAAACTTATTCAAAACTGATAAAATGAAGACACATTGTACACTACTATGAATTAAATTCAGTAGAAAAACAAAAAATATGTTCGATGTTCAACATTCGTGAGTCGAAGTACCGATGTTTCGAATTTTTCCTGATGGTCCCGTAAAGTTCGAAATATCGACGTTTGACTGTATGAATATTTTGGAATACACTAAAAATTATATGAAACTTGATTGGAAAAACACCTTTACTTATAGAAACCATTTCACATTTGGCATGACATGATTCCCCTAAACGAGTAATGCTTGTCTTACATTGAGGTTTTTCTTCACCAACATATGTTTGTATGAGACGAATTAAAACGCTGTTGGAGTTCGTCAGGGCATATCTACATACCTGATACCGGAGGTGGCAGTGTGATTGGTATCGGTGTTGTAGCTGTGAGAAAAGGACACAAGAAGGATGAAATCTTCGGGGCCATATGCAATTAAGCCACATACCAAAATATCCTAATTCAAACTAGCAACACTATTATCATAATATTTAAAAAAAGGCAATGCAGTATATGTATATAAGCGATATTAGAGAATATATATCTATTGATGCAAAAACATGCTTTTTCAGTTTTATCTGACTGTTCTATTAAGCATGACGCTTTAGTTTTAAAAAAGTTCGTTTTCAAATCTCCTTTAAGAATACATCAAAGCTTTGTCTAGATTTAGAAGTCATTATTGACCTTGATAACAATATATAGCTAATTGGTTATTCACTTTAGTATAGTCTTAAAAATGAGAATAAAGGAAACTGTTTAAACGTGGATGAAATCTTAATATTATGCAGAACAATGTTTGCAATGATTTATGGGAGTTTTTAGTAGATATTTTGAATTTGATTAATTCTCTTTTGTTCAAAAACAAAACCTTTTCGCATTATTAATAAAAATATACCAGTAACTGCGGAAGAAGTGGAGGAATGACCGTTCGTTAGACGAGTTATCTGCCCTCAACATTAAAGAGATAGATTATCACTTACATGGGGGCGGATATGGCCTCTCGCGGAATCCATCTGGTGGACGTTCTGGCGCTGTATAAAAGAATGTGAATCAGCATTGAGAAGTCTAAAGGTATTAGCGAAATGATTATCATGAGCTAAGAGATAATTCAGCAAAGGAACATATACTTTGCTACACGTGCCAGATAAAAATAGAATTTGAATACGTTATACATAAACTGCCTGCAAAAGGCTACAGCAGCAAGTGGAGATAAGTGAATACGGTTTATCGTGAATATAATTGTACATGTAGGCTTTAAGAAAATTTAAATACATTATACATAATCTGAACGAACTTTTCTCAATATGTGCACGAGCTAAATATTATTGAATCTTACAAGCTTCTAGCATCTCCAACTCGTCGTCAATATCCTCTGGTCGGTCAGTCAGTAAGAACAGACGCTGGTATTCGTCCAGAGGGTGTGACGATACCTCGTCCAGTTCGCTGTGATCCCTGAGTCCGACTCCCACCGTGAACAGGTAGGTTCCGTCATCTTCGTTTCTCTCTGNAGAGCGTTGAGCTCGTCAAAGGTCTGCACGTTAAAGCTGTTTTCTGATGCTGGTTTGTTGGCAATGCCGTCTAACTCTTTGGTATCCTTTAGACCGATACCTATAGCGTAGATGTGGATGTCTGCAAGTCTAGCCTTGTCGGCTTCCGGGACGGTTCTCCGGGAATTAATGTTGGATACACCGTCTGTTAAGATGATACAGATGTTTGGAACATCCTCACGATCCCCGTCGGCGGCGTTGAACATGTTCCTCATAGTCCTCAGTGCGTCAGCCGTGTTTGTACTTCCGTAAATGTAAGGGATCTCATCGATAGCCTGGTTTATGTCATTTCTCGTGCTGAATGTATTGAGATTGAACTGAACTTCTACCCCGGAACTGTAGATCAAAGCACCCACACGTACGTTACCGGAATCAATGTCGGCGTTCCTGAGGAAATCCTTACAGAAAGCCAGCATTTTATCGTAGTTATCTTGTCCTACACTGGTGGAGGCGTCTATGATGATGATCAGATCGACTTTGGACAGGGCACAATCTATGGACAAAAATAGTACGTTGTGCATCATACCGCGAACATTGCATTTCTCAACCAAGCACTTATTCATAACCTTTATATACTTTACAGGACTGATATGCTTGGAATAACAGCACAACACACATTCTTGTTAAAACATGTGTAAAATAATAGTTACATGGCGAAGAAAAGCTCATGAAAGTCACATAGTCTCTTTCAAGAGAGAATATTACATTTTTTCCAGTTTGAATGGTCATAACACTCGCTGTCATGTATATTATTATTTACTTGATTTGGTTGATAAAACCTCACATGCATTAAAACTCATTTGTGAGTCCCACGAAGAAAAGAGTGACCCATTTGTATCCTTATGTTTTAATCGCTTTAAGAAGAATTTTATAACGGCTCTTTTGAACCTGTTATTATGTTTTGATATTAGAGTACTTTCTTTGCCTATTCTTTAGCACTTAGTTTTAACTTTAGTGGCTACCATTTATACCCAACATTTCCTTCGTTTCCATATTCTAATGAAAGTAACTGGTGATGATAAACTAATGGAAATTAAAACATAAAAGAGTCATGAAATAGACGATTTATTTGATACCCTACCATAAATAGTATTTATAGGAATATTTTCAAACAAGAGGCAAGAAATAGAAGAAGTACTTGATAATGTACAAGAGAACGGATTTAGAAGAAAAATTGAAAACTTACTTGAGACAAGTGCTGAAAAGCAATAAGGATATTTACCAGAGGCAAGATATGGAAAATGTATTGGATAACGTACCAGAAACAGGAGGTGGAAGAGTGATAGGAATGGGTGTTGTACCTGTAAGAAAAGAGGTTACAATTCAATCAAAACGATAGAAGAGCGATCACAAGTACAATAACAATCTACGGTTAGCTTAATGGGCCAGATGAGTGAGAAAGATATGTTTAACGATAACATTCGTCTTCATAACTCTGTCGTTTCTGTATTAAACATTGAATTGGAATTAAGATGACGTCATTGTGATGCTTTTTGATGGTGATTATGTGAACATCTCTGAATAAAAACAGGATTTGACGCTGTATACTTACTCGGAGGTGGATATGGCCTACCCCTGAATCCAGCCGGCGGATCCTCTGGTACTAAACATATATATAACAGAAGTCATAAGAATAATCGGAACGGGGTAATAATGAATTAATTAATTTATCTGAATACATAACTTATAATGCAAATTTATAGATAGCATTATAGATCATTTAACACTTGCAAAACTTATTTACTTAAATCGATAAGAGATGATTTTTTGTCTGTATTTATCAACAAGTAAATAACTTACATGCTTCTAGCATAGCTAACTCGTCGTCAATATCCTCTGGTCGGTCAGTCAGTAAGAACAGACGCTGGTATTCGTCCAGAGGATGTGACGATACCTCGTCCAGTTCGCTGTGGTCCCCGAGTCCCACTCCCACCGTGAACAGGTAGGTTCCGTCGTCTTCGTTTCTCTCCGCTGCTCGGAACGCCCCATACCTGTCGGTGCTTTCGTCATTTCCGGTAATTAGGAGAATAAAGTTTCTCGCAAAGTCTCTGTCGCCATTGTTGGGTCTAAACATCCGGGTCCTAACATAATCAAGGGCTTCGGCTGTATTTGTATCACCCCCTTGGTATTGTACATTGTTCATGGCAGCTAATAGTTCCTGTCGTGTGGAGAAATCGTTTAGTTGGAATTGTACTGATTGACCGGAACTATACCGCAGAAGGCCGACACGGAACTTCTCGTTGTCAATACTGAGTCGACTAGCGACCATTCTGGCGTATTGTTGAATCCATCGCCATTGTTGTTGTGTAACAGACGAATCCAGCACGATGACTAAATCAAAGGCTCGTGGTGGAGGTGTGGGAGCGTCGGTAACTGATGGGAAACAAATGTATCTTTTATAAATTCTGGACAAGGATACATTAAAATATCCTACAAGAATATTTTAACATATAAACTGTCAGTACGAGGTAACTCTGTAATGAGAAATATGACGTTGATGTAATGATTAATAGAATTTCCCCCTACGTTGAGGGTGTGACAGAGAAATCTCCTACCCGAGGGGTGATATTTTTTGGTTGTATAACCTGAGACTCTGCCGAGAGGTAGACAACCAAATAATTCACCCCGAGGGTTGGAGATTTCTCGGTTACACCCTCACGGTAGGGGATGATTATTTTTCTCCCATCATATTACTTCAGTCACAGCTCCACCGACAGTAGTATGCCATGTTTGTAAATAAAAACACATGTGGGGAATGCCTATCGTCATTCATTTTTGATGACGTCACAATTACCGATGACGCATTTTAATGATGTCACAATTGAACACGTGCTAACCGGCACGAGGCTATCTCCCTCTAGGGGGTGACAGGCTGACCTTTCCCGGCTATAACGGGAGACACACCTGTGAAGGGTGGGAGAAATCATATTCTTAAACACCTACCGGGTTGACATCGCCTTGCTTTTGAAGGTAGTAATGGCGATTTTGAACGAGAAAGTGTCAAAGTTAGATTACTATTATAAAGGAGGCCTTTTCTGTTTATTAAGGTTATGCTATGATGCTGTGAATATCAATCCATGGGGGTTATAAATTATAAACTTGAATGTCGCACACAAGAGGCATATGGAGCCTTTATCGCTCTACTCTATATGCCGCTCTCTGACTGAAGGAAACATTGGTTAAATATGTCTGTTAATGTACCACATGTAAGACTAGAGTGTCAGTAAACGAATTTTGATACGTTTAACGAAGCAAAATGGTTAAATCTGTTCTGAACTGGTATTCAATCAAAGAAAAAAATGACGAATGCGACGGACACTGTGGTACCGATATCTAGCGTTGCCCTTCGTCTTTGTCGACATTATACAACATTACTGTACATTTACTTATCCGCGAGATCATATACTCATATATTGTAGCTGGAAATTATGACAAAAGCGAAAATTGAATTGTTACTGATATGTGTTTTTGTAAATAGTAATAATCTATTGGTAAACATAATATATTAGTTTTCATTATTTCGGTTATTCGCGAATTTTAAACCTCTCATACAGTTTCAGATGAAACTTTTATATACCTTCGAAATTCTGTCGTTTCTGTATTGAGCATTGAATTCGAATTGATATGACGTCATTGTGATGCTTTCTAATGGTGATTATGTGAACATCTCTGAATCAAAATAGGATTTGAAGCTGTATACTTACTCGGAGGTGGATATGGTCTACCCCTGAATCCAGCCGGTGGATCCTCTGGTACTAAACATATATATAAAAGAAGTCATAAGAATAATAGGAACGAGGTAATATTGAATTAAGTATAATAAATGTATCTGAATACATTACTTATAATGCAAATTTCTAGATAACATTATAGATCATTTAATACTTGCAAAACTTATTTACTTAAATCGATAAGAGATGATTTTTTTGTCTGTATTTATCAACAAGTAATTAACTTACATGCTTCTAGCATGGCTAACTCGTCATCAATATCCTCTGGTCGGTCAGACAGTAAGAACAGACGCTGGTATTCGTCTAGTGGGTGTGAAGATATCTCGTCAAGTTCGCTGTGATCCTGGAGTCCCACTCCCACTGTGTATATGTAAGTGCCATCATTTTCATTTTTCTCTGCTGCTCGGAACGCTCCATACCTGTCTGTGCTTTCGTCATTTCCGGTAATCAAGAGAATGAAGTTTCTAGCAAAGTCTCTGTCACCATTTTCAGGTCTGAACATCCTTCTTCTAACATAATCTAACGCGCCTACCGTATTTGTCTCGCCTGACTGGTACTGGACATCGTCAATGGCAGCCACAACGCCATCTCTGGTCAAGTGGTCGTCGAGATTGAACTGAAGAGCCTGACCAGAGCTATATCTTAGAAGACCCACGCGGAACTTTTCGTTGTCAATGCTGAGTCGTCCAGCAACCATCTTAGCGTAATTCCGGATCCATTGCCATTGGTTTTGATTGACAGAAGAGTCAAGGACAATGACTATGTCGAAAGCACGTGGCGGAGGCGTTGGAGCATCGGTTACTGAAATATCGATATTCATCAAACAACTATAATTATGTGTACACGATCAATTAATGTCATATATACACACACACATATATATACTAACACGTTACAGCAAGAAATACAATATACTTTGTGCAATCACGTAATAACTTAACAACTCCATTCATAATATTATAGCAGCCAAATTATATAAAAATAACCGTTTTGACATACACGATATTATCCATCTCTCAAATTTCATCAAGTTAACAATATGCATGCAATTTATCATTTCAATCAAAAACACCAACACAATAATTTATCGTTGTTTTAATTTTTAATTTTTAAGAAATTGGTAGCTAAAAAAAAATAAAAATCCGGTGACTATATGATGGGAGCAAGGCAGAGAGAAGCGATTTTGCTGTTTCTAATGTTAAAAACATTGATTATAGAATGAAGCACC